AGGCACTTGTTACTAGAAGCGATGCACTTGTTCCTAATAGCTTCTTGCTGTTACTATAAACTTCAGATGTGACCATGGGTACTTGGAAGACATGGGTGCTTGACTAACACCGACCAAACCTTAAACCTCCAGACATGGTTGCTTGGAAGATCTGACCATCTCTGACCGTCCAAGACCAAACTTTGCGACCCGTCGCGGTGCCCGCATGCGTTTCGTCGCAGTTCTCGAGCAAATCTCTGGACTTTGGACGGCGACATCAGCCAGCTTGAAGAAGATGAAGATTCTGGGGTCTTTGGACTGCAACAAGTCGGAAAATGCTCGTTCAAACCTGTAGTTTGGCCAAGTTGCATGAGAAGATGGGGCAATGAAAAACACAGTTGCAGTCAGTATATAGCTCTTCTTGAGTTTTTGAACACGTTCCATACTCACTGTACTGGTGTGGGCTGGTTGAGAAATGTTTTGACCTATTTGATATTTTCAACATTTTACAACTACATTTTCTCTTCTCGGTTTGTGTCCCTATTCACATGTGTCTTCAGCATGACTTCTGCACTAAGGGCTTTTGTGGCACCCAGTGATGCGTGTCTCACAGCTGAAACGGCTGCAAGACAAAAATGCGCGGTTTCGGCTGCCTTGAGACATGCAGAAGCGACCTTGCCACAGAACACAGCGCAGGAGTGTGGGAGACACCGATGTCGGGAGAAAACCGATGTCCACGTACAACGACAACCCCCGACTGCCATCCTTTGTTTTAGTAACAAACAGCTACTAGGTGGAGGTGGAGGCCATCGCTATTTAGGTTGGAGGCCATTACTAGTAACAAGGACGCTACATGACGCTACTACGTTTGAGTCGCGTTTGCAATTGTGCGCATTGCAGTTGACGCGTTCCCTCGATGGGTCCGTGGCCAAGCCTTCCCACGGGTCCCAAAAGCTTTGCCGGAACAACCGCGTGGTGCCCAGCAGCATGCACAGACAATTTGCATCCTCGATGACTAAGAGCTGGATGGCTTTGGATTTAAGTCGAGTGGGCACGAGCAATGCTGAGCCACACGTCATAACATCATTAGGAGGCCATCGCTACTAGTTTGGACTTGAAGTAGCGAGATGCAGCCTCTTCACAATCACCAAAAGTCTTATGGCCCTCGGCCCTCATCCCCGTGGATTGCAGCTCACCGCTGTAACGCGTTATAGCTTCGCTTGGACCCTCTGGCGACTCGCCAAGAGAAGAGACTTCACTGGGGACCTTTGCGACACCCATTTCAGTTTTGAAACCACTGCGGGCCGTCTGCGGCCACAATTTTAGACATCCACTCGCACTCCACAGCGCAAGCGCAATCTGCGGTGACGCACCAAGGTCGTCTAGACTAGCGTTGGTCAGCGGACCCTTGGGAGCAGGTTGGCCTCAGGACTAGTAACAAGAAGCTACTAGTAGCAAGAAGCTACTAGGTGGAGGTGGAGGCGATCGCTATTAGGTTGGAGGCCATTACTACTACTGTAGTAAAAAGGACGCTACAAGCAGCTCCTGGCATTACTACCAGTAACAAGAAGCTCCTAGACAGAGCCAAATAGAAGCCCCAACGGCCCCAACACTCTTGGTGTACACCGATCAAAGAAAAGTGTCTGATGGCCTTTACACCAACCGAACTGCAGCCACGAATGGGGCTATGCACGCCGTTCAAAAAGAAACAATATCGATCGCGACATCATTGAAACACGGATCACTCACTCGCACCTGTTGTGACACAACACGCGCTTTTGGGCAGTTTGCATGGGCACTGGAACTGGTTGCACGCGACGTCCTCGCGATGGTAGACTGCCCGGTTCGCGCAGCTCTGCCTCTCGTGCCCTGTCTGGCTTCAGCTTCGCCCAGCGCCGACGCGCTGGCAGATCCGCCACACACACGCCCGCAGCAAGGAGTGTAGGATTTGTTGGTTGAGTTGATGAGAGTAGTAGGATTGATTGTTTGGAAGTTTGCCGTTGGATTCAACATGGAACGACGCTGTTCCATCATTGTACTCAGTGCATCAGTCCAGTTGGACGCGTCACGGTTTGGCTTTCTGCCGTCACCCCGCCCTCAGGCTGAGGGGAGCTGTGCCCCAGCTTTTGTTTCTTTTTGTGTGCTAGTTGTCCTCGGGTCAACTGTTTATTTTGTACAAGCCCTCTTTCCATTTGTTCATTGCTCAAACATATCAAGTCCTTTTGAGGTGGAACTCTACAGCCATATATGTACAGCACAAGACTTCTCTCTCTCTCTCACACACATTGAGGGTTCAACACCTGTGAGCCGAAAACTGCTCAAACCTTGCGGTTTTGTTTGCTTGCGCCCATTCCACACAAGCATGTTGTTTCCTCGGAATTTAACGAGGTTTCAAGGAACATTTCACCGGCCAAGTCAGACTTTTCCAACACGGCCGGCAATGGTTAGCATATTTTAATAAGCCGTCAGCCTTCAATTTAAAGGAGTCCTTCTTTAATGGAATCCATACTTATCTTTTTAAATGTGTTCTTTTTTAACGTCTTCTTATGGGAGTGACAGCGAGCTGGTTACCAACCTGGTGCCTGCATCCTACTGCCCCTTGCTGTGTTTCCAGCGACCTCGTGATTTATGCCACACACCTGCTTGGGGGAGACCTTGTGTTGCAACAACTCTCAGGCTTCCCCCACTGGCCGCCTCACCGCCAAGCTCGCTGGCCAGAACGCGTGTGCCCGGTGTTGTTTGCCCTTCCGCGCCTATGCCCAGCTGCGTTTGACCGGAGCTGCACTGTGCCCATTCGGCTGGGTGACTGTGGCGAATTGGCTACCGGGGTATTCACAGCGAGATCTGGAATGCCAATCTAGCCGTGGATTGGGACCTGTAGCTCTGGACAAGCTGCACTTGTGCCCGTCTCCCACCCCCACAATGTGCAATATCAGCTTCTCGACCTTCTGTTCTTTAGCGGTGTTTGTGTCCACATCCAGGTTCCCTCCGAAGAACAAAGGTAGTTCAAAGACGAGGAGCACGGTACCCGTACGTGATTTGTTTGTCAAGTGGTGGGTGCGGGCGTGGCGTGCTGGTTTCAGGTTCCATGTAAAAGACATTGGGAAGACAAAAACAATTTGTGGTGGACACCCTGATTAGCTTATGTCTTAAGTTATCTTCATTATCTTGATGTTAGACCAACAAGCTGCAACGGACTCTGCGTGCCCCAACCAAATCCGCCACCTCTCCGCCACGCGGTGTTCTGTGGCTCGTGGACGGCAGTGTGCAACTTTTGCACAACCCATCGACCTGCGCGAAAGAAACATCGACCTGCTGATGTTGAGGCAGGATGCTCTCGGTTCCCTTTTGGCCAGGCTGGAAGGTCATTTGGATGGCCAATGCAGAACGCCAGGATGGCTCCTTCCGTGCCGTTGCAAGATGCCATTGGGTATTGGTTTCTTGACCAACATGACTGGCCCATGGCACTTGGATTTTGGAGCTTGAGTGGTGGCAATGCTGGCTGACGGCTCAAGGCATGTGAGCACGTAGCCTGGCCCTCGCCCGCCCGCTGCGGCGGCCGCGATCAACCCCGTCTGCCGGGCCGTGGATGCGCGCGATCACCGTGCCACGCCCCTTCGCTCCGGCCTCGCAGCACCCCAGCAGGATGGCGGTCCAGAATTCTGGATCGGGGGCCAACGGCCGCCCCTACCCAGGCGCAGCTCCTCCGCTGCCCGTCGCTTTACGGTCTGGCTGAGGTTTTCGCAGACCCCCTGCCCTTAGTCGTCCGCACTTGAATGGCTGAGGGGCCTGGTGCTCGTACATAGCTGGGCTCGCAACTGCGGAACAAACGTTTCATATGAGACGTTGCCGACGTTGATCCTACCTCAGGTGTTCACAGTCGTTGATTCCGTCCGCTTTGCTAAAGGGGGCCACAGCCACATATCATTTCATATTATATTGGGGGTAACTGGTACGTATCAGTCCCAAGGCCCATGGACCAGAAACCGCCCGTGGTGGACACGCCACACAAAATACAAAACCGTGCAAGTGAGTGAGGTCGTCGAACTGTGAGGGCACCAGGTGAGGTTGAGAGGAAGGAACTCCTGCTCTTCCCGCGTGAAATGATCGCAGCTCTTACTTCCAATTGGTTGCCACAGTCGACTTTGTACCTTTTGATGGTTCACGCTGGCGTGGCTCGGGTTTGGGCAGGCCCCAAGGAAGGAGAAGGCCCAATGCCCGGAGGGCGCCATGGAGTTGACGCGAAACATCTGCAACCGTCCAGCTATGAGTGTTGCGACCATGATGTCCGCGCAGCTTCGGCAAAAGCTCAGTGCGGTGAAATGAGGCGTTTTTTGGCGTGCCACCGGACAGTGCCGTGCTGGTATTTGCTACCTCCTGTATGTCATCTAACGTTGTGTGGCCTAACTTGCCATTGGCCGCCCTGGTTTCACCAGTGTCACCGTTGGGCTGGCACCGGAACCTACTGCCGGGCCGCATGCGAGAAACCAAGCGCTGCAAAGAGCACATTTACTCAGAACTTCCCATGTGTGCCCTGTCCCGGCCTCATTCTGTCAGTTCCAAGGCCCTTCTGAACTCATCATAATTCACCGTAGGCCATGGGGCTTCAAAAATCAAGTATCCATTGTTGTTTCCGCAGGATGTCCGCAACCTGGGTGATGTCGTTCAACATAGACTTTGCGAACGTTCCCAGGCCCTTTGTGGCTTCTCATTGAGCCTCCGAACCTGCTCGAGTCACCAATGTAATCATCTTAAGTTTGATCAAAACAGCCTTGTCACCGTTACTTTTTTGTTTCGGTTTCACTACGTTTACACTGTTTTCACAACATTGTCCCCGCAAAGCAACAGAATAAAACAAATCCAAACATGTCGCATGTTGGACTTCAGCAATTCCTGGACGCGGGTTCAAAGTCAAATTTTATCAAATTTTTCAAGGCCAACGGGTTGCAAATGTTATGAACTCGTGAAGAGTTTCCTGACAGTCTGGGGGCGCAAACGCGGTGCAAGGCTGATATCCCCAACAAACCTCGTGAGAAAAACAATGAAACACGTAAGGTCGCTGAAACGTAGTTTTCAATCGTGGGAAACGGTCAAGATTTGGCGCACAATTCACATGCTAGCCTCGAACTATATTGTGCGGTCGGTAGATCTTTGTGTGGTTTCATGAAGTAGGGTCGACATCCTGGAGGAACGAAACGCTACAAAATCTTGTTTATACTTGAGGGTCTCCTTACCACGATTATGAACTATTGACAACGACAAGATAATTTGCAAGAATTGAGTGGGCATCTCGACAAGCGTTTAGGTGCACATGCATGTCTTGGGGAAACCTGGCAACCAGTTTGCTTAGCGGCTGCTTATCCTGCGTCTGCAAACCAGTTTGGGGGCTTAAACGTATTTCTGTGCAGTGGATTGGGTCGAACTCAACGGCTCACTTCACTGTTGCTTCTCGTGGAAAGGTTTTCACCTTTTTGTCGCGGAAATTGGCCGCCCTCATAACCTTTGATTTTATAGTCGAAACATGTCGAAACTTTCCACTACAATGCCGGGGTTTCTAAGAGAATCAAGATGAAAGCAGGAACGGGCGGAGACGGTGCAACCCATGGTGAAAGTGCCAGGCTTGTTTGAAGCGAAAAAAAGATAAGTTTTCATGACGAATTCAAAGGCGAAACTTG